TTTTTTTTTGGTCAAAGTAGCTCTTTTATGTCTCCTGTTTGATAACATACTACTGTCCGAGATAAGCTAGATCTTAGGTCCCATTTTAAAAAATTACGAATTATGACTTTTGAAAAACTAGCTTCGAATGTCACCCAGATAAGGTGGGTTTGACCCCACACAATTTTGATAACTTTTTCTATCATAAAAGCCAAAAGCCACCAAAAGCTCAGATAACTTTAAAAGCTTCTAAAATAAGCCTCCCCAAACACCCTCATAACTTATGAGTACTCAGCACTGCAGTTCCTGAACTCCCGAACCATGTATTCTAACAACGTTCTATCTGGTGAAGACGGATTGATTCATATCTAGTCTTTTATTTTGTACAGTCATGCTCATTAAACAGTTCAAAAGTTGCAGAAGTGTATTAGCCTAGTTAAATGACCGTGAATGTGGTTTGGGATTGCTTGTGATAAGTTCTCTCACTTGCTTTTGAAGTTCTTAATCCTTTTTTTTGTTGCGAAGACGCATTAGAAGTTGTTTTAGAAAAGGTTGTCATTTTCTTCAAATAAATCAAGTTGCAAGTTAGATTGTAATTAGCCTCGACCTGCAAAATGACAACATCTGGGGAAAAGATGATCAGTTACAACCCGTGAACAAGAGAGGGTAATAGAAATTAGCTACAGTGAGGTTCAAACCTAGTTCTACAAAAGCATTATGTTCTAGGGACATGTTTGTTTAATCTGCAGATCTTAAGGAACTTAGGTGGCAACCAATGTAACTTAGAGTTTAGACGTAACAGAGACATCAATCTTTATATTCTCTTGAAACATATCTACTATTCTATACAAATGGGAGAACCCAAGATTTACTATGAAATGGACACTGCGGTTTTTTTGAAAAATATTACTGTAGTACACGGGAATACCGTAGCAGAGGTGGGATACTGTAGCAATTCAAAATTCAAAAAACATTAGTGTAGCAGTTAAAACTGGAATTACTGTAGAAGGGGAAAAAATGCCGTGCTTTGCACGATGTTCACACTAGTTTATAATATTACAGGAGAAGAAATGTGAAACTTGTAGTGATAATATTTTGACCAGATTAAACAATCTTTCTCTTATCCTTCTATTGCACTTAAAAGGGATGGAAACATTTTGTTGCAGGTGTTCATAGTAGATTATTTTTTCAGATCAAACTTGGAGCAGGATTTTCTCACAGCAGATCTCCAGGTAATTTATCCATATTAAAGGTGGAAACCCATTTCTTAATTAAAAAATCATTGCTTAGAGCTGCATTTTAATGTTTTATTAAGCTATTCTTACTGCTTCTTCCTTGTATGTGAATTAGTTTTTACAACTCTTTCTGTGAAAAAGTGCACCAAACAAATTGATCTTTGCATTAGATTTTATTTTGTATCTCAGACAATTCATTTTATCACAAGAATAAACTTAACCAAGCCAAATCAAATATTCCCAAAAAAAATCTAAATACAAAATAAACATAAGGGATCATAAATTTATTTTTTCTAACCTCATAAATACAGACAAAAGAAGTTTTTTGCAACTTGTAAATTTTATTTTATTTGGACAGTAATGTTTGTACCTTAAAAAGTGAATTTCATTTTATTATGCTTTTCCTAATATCTAACCTCAGAAGTAGTTTCAAAATTCTATGATCAACCAATTACCTGTGTCAGGTTGAAGTTACAATTGATACTCCGAAGGAATATTCTGGAGACATTTCCAGCTTCACCATGGAGGCAACATTATATGATAACGCTGGATGGTACTCCTTTGGGGATAATGAAGGGAAGATGGATATGGCATCCTATGCTGTGACTCATATGAAACGAAGTTCACCACCAGCTGGACGTCTTGGATTCCATGGGTACCAATTTGAAGGAAAACTAGACAATCCAAAACTTTGGTCGAGTGAACACGTAAGTAATTTTCATTTCCAATTACCAATTAAATTGATGGGGTTTTTTGTATATATATCCGTTTATTCATGTGTATTTGTAAAACTAACCCCCTCCCCAACACCAGTATTTGCAAAACTACCTCCAAATCATCAACTTTGAGAAAAAGCCCTCTAAATCAACAAGTCATCAATTTTGTTGGATATCGTGAGTAAAGATTTGACTATTTTGTTGATATTCTTACATCGCAGTAACAAATTACCCTATCAAAGTTGATGATTTGGGGGTAGTTTGCAAAAACTAATATTTGGGGGGTAGTTTTGCAAATACACGTGATTTAAGGGGCATATATACAAAAAAACCTTAAATAGAAAAGTTATTATTCATTGAACAAATCAGTTTATTTGCAAAAGATCACTCGTTCACCAGTACACTTTGTGAAACAGCCGAATCTATACACTCTTGTCCTCATCCTCAAAGATGCATCTGGCAAGCTTGTTGACTGTGAATCATGCCAAGTAGGTATTCGCAAAATATCTCGAGCTCCAAAACAGATGCTTGTCAACGGACAGCCTGTAGTAATAAGAGGTGTCAATCGAATTTTGGAAGCATGCATGATTAAGGTGATATTTCTAACTACTACTTAAAGTGCGTACTATTTATGCTATATGCTTTTTTAGTAAATTTCACAAACCCCCGTGAACTTTGAGGCGTTTTGCACAAGACCTCCCTAAACTTTCTAAACCAGAGAAGGTCCCATGGACTTGTCTCACTTGAGTACAGTGAGCAATGAGAACTTGTTTGCCCTTGTTCTGAAAAAAAATTCCCTTGTCCATTTCTCAAGTTTACGGAAAGAGAGTTTTCCAGCTAGGGTAGGTAGATAGTGACGAGGGTACTTTAGACGTTTTAACCTTAATGTTTACGCTATTGATGACAATTTCCTATAGCCTAGGGGGTTTTGTATAAGTTCGGAAGTTCAGAGGGGTTCTCTGATCTGTAAGTTTAGTGGGGGGTTTTGTGCAAAACACCCCAAAGTTTTGGGGTGGGGGTTTCTGAAATTTGCCATTATTTTTTTTTACTTTCAGACTCATGTGTTCTCATGCCTACAGGATTTGGTTCTGATGAAACAGAACAATGTAAATGCTGTCAGAAACAGCCATTACCCCCAGCACCCACGGTGGTACGAGTTATGTGACCTGTTTGGCTTCTACATGATAGATGAAGCCAATATTGAATCACACGGATTCGATGATTCTAGTCATTTCAAGCATCCAACTTCAGAACCATGTTGGGCGGGATCTATGCTTGATCGTGTTATTGGCATGGTGGAGAGGGACAAGAATCACGCCTGTATTATTTCATGGTCTTTGGGAAATGAATCTGGATATGGACCTAATCATTCTGCTCTTGCCGGTATATGAACTTTAATATTTTTATGTTGGGTTGTCTGTGTATTTATCCTCCAAATCTACTGTATTTTTAAATTACCCCAATAATCTTGGTATTTCTGAAAACACCCCCGGAATCTCCAACTTCGGATAAAAAAATCCTTCATCTGTGAATATACCTAGTGTATTCCCTAACATATAACATAACAGTTGGTAAGTGAGGAGTATATTTATCCCATGTTGGAGATTGACTTCTATGAATATCAAGATTTTGGGGTAAATTTAAAAATACAGTAGATTTGGGGGGTAAATGCAAAAACCACTTTTTAAGTTTGATTGCACGTATCTGATGGCTTGCTGGTTTATAGGTTGGATTCGAGGAAAGGATCCCTCCAGGTTTCTGCATTATGAAGGTGGTGGGTCCAGAACTTCATCCACTGATATCATATGCCCCATGTACATGCGTGTATGGGACATCTTGAAAATTGCTAAAGATGAGAGTGAAAGTAGACCTCTGATTTTATGCGAGTAAGCTGTTTTCATTTCTTTAATCTCTTTCTATTTATTAAATTAAACAACAATCTTGATCTCTGTTACTTCTGTTCAAACTTCAAAAGGTATTCTCATGCAATGGGGAATAGTAATGGAAACATTCACAAGTACTGGGAAGCTATTGATAGCACATTTGGACTTCAAGGAGGTTTTATTTGGGATTGGGTTGATCAGGTAAATGGCGATTACTTTATATATCAATGTTAAATGCTGCATTTCTTCATGCTCTTGTGTTAGATTTCATATATTTAATGCATCTGTACTTGACTGCACTAATAAGCAGCGCATTAGCGTATCGTGTGTTGTAATCATCTTTTTCGGAATAGTTGTGTTCGTACTAATAATAATCATATGACACACATCTAATTCCAGAATATTACAAGCATCCTAAACAAACAATGTCATGCAACAATGGCTAAAAAGCTGAATTTAATGCCCATTAGCTCTTCATAGTTCAGGCTATGTTGGCTGTAAATCGAATAACAATATTTTTGTTTTCCGATCTGGATTGAGGTTTAAAAAGTTTAAAAAGATAATTCATGGTTCCCGTAAGCTAGGTATTTAGTTCATTGAAAGAATTAAGATCATGGTTGTCTGAAACTTTTTCCACCAAAATCGGGTGCATACAGTATAAATTTCAAAACCTTTCATTGAGACTTATGCGAATGAAGGTTTAATAATCGTTAATGAAACATGTCCTGAAAATATTATTGTAGGCAGAAGAGGTGATCATGAAATGTGTTTCTATTCAAAGTATTATACATGAACTAGAAAATGTATTCTCCGCATTTTGCTTTCTTTTTTCCCTTTACCCGTGCCTAAGAGCTGAAGGTAAAAACAAATCTATAATCTTTCTCTTTAGATGAAGATGAAGACTACTTCCCTTCATCTATCACTTTCAAATGTCCTTTTTGCTTCAGTGTGAAGTGATAATATAAAAGGTGCAATATAAGTTTCTGCCTTTTCCTGCAGGGTTTGCTAAAGGCGGCCAAAGATGGCTATAAATATTGGGCCTATGGGGGTGATTTTGGTGATACTCCAAATGACTTGAACTTCTGTATAAATGGACTTATATGGCCAGATAGAACACCTCATCCAGCTCTACACGGTAGCTCCCGAAGAAGTTTTAGGTTAGCTTTAATACATATGGCAGTAATATAACCTTGCACATGGATTTTTCTTTCAGAAGTCAAATATGTTTACCAACCTCTCAAGATTTCCTTGGCAGAAGGCAAAGTTAAGGTATACTCTTTTGAAATTAAAATTGATTTTTCTCAACAAAGCAGTAACCACTGACTGTTTGCTTATAGTATAGATTATTAATGCACAATATTTTGAAGCAACAAATGGAATAGAATTCAGTTGGCTTCTCGGTGGAGATGGATGTAATCTTGGATCTGGGTTGCTGAATCTCCCGATAATTGAACCACAAGATAGTTATGAATTTGAACTTGACTCATCTCCTTGGCATTCTCTATGGGAATCATGCCAAGTAACAGAAATATTTTTAACAATTATCGCAAAACTTAGGCACTCGACACGATGGGCAAAAGATGGTCACATCCTTGCTTCAGTTCAACTCCATCTTCCTACCAAGAGAAAACCTATTCCTCGTGTAAATTCTTTGGACCTTTATTGAAATACTCAGATGACTTGTGTTAGCTTTATATAACAGGTCCACATCCTTTTCAGGTCGTTAATTTCAAACCTCATCCTGCTCTTTTTCCCGAGTGTGTTGGTGATACTATAACAATTAGCAAGGAAAGTTTTTGGGAGATCAGAATTAATACGCGCACTGGGACAATTGAGAATTGGAAGGTAATCAATAGTTTCCTCTGAATTTATCCATGATTTAACTGAATCTGGAGTTTATGCTTCAAACATTTTTGAGTTGGGTTATTTAGATATTAGTTCGTCAAATATTCAATAATTGCATATTAGTCCCTCAAATCTTTGAAATTGCTCATTCGCCCCTAAAGTCCTAAGGGTCTTGCAATTTGGTCCATCCATGACCAAAATACCCCTCAAATACTGTCTTTTGATCGCAGATGGTTTTTTTTTTGGGGAGGGGGGGGGAGTAAACTGAGGGATATTTTGGTCATTGAGGGACCAAATTGAAGACCCTGTAGGATTTTGAGGGACTTATGAGCAAATTCAAAGTTTTGAGGGACTAATATGGAATTATTGAATATTTGAGGGACTATATATTGAAATAACCCTTTTGAGTTTCACATGAAGAAACACTTCTGTTCATGATTATACAACCTTAAGCAGAAACGACATTTGTTTATTCGTTGGTCTTTGTTACCTGAATCATCATCAATTAAAATATAAGTCATAATTATAGGTTTTGAAACAATAATCGACTCAAATCAACTTCTTATCTCTTGTTAGATGAATTACAGGTGGAAGGATGTTTACTAACAAACCATGATATACTTCCCTGCTTCTGGCGAGCACCTACCGATAACGACAAAGGAGGCGGCCAAAATAGCTACGCCTCTAAATGGAAAGCTTCTTTTCTTGACACTCTCACATTTCGCACTGAAAATTGCTCCATAAAACAAGTAACAGATAATTGTGTGCACATTACAACAGTTTATACTGGCCATTTGAATGTTAACGTGGGTTATTGGATATATGGTTCTGGTGATGTGATCATTGAATATAATATAAACCCGAAAAGAGATCTTCCTCCTCTTCCTCGTGTTGGAGTTGAGCTCCACCTTGACAAGTCTTTAAATAATGTTACTTGGTACGGGAAGGGGCCATTTGAGTGTTACCCAGATCGAAAAGAAGCTGCTCATGTTGGTGTATATGAAAGTAATGTAGAGGATATGCATGTGCCATACATAGTTCCTAGTGAATGTGGAGGTCGAGCAGATGTAAGATGGGTTGCATTCAGAAATGGAGGAGGACACGGTTTGTTTGCTTCTATTTATGGTACTTCTCCACCGATGCAAATGAGTGCGAGTTATTATGGTACTGCAGAGCTCGATAGAGCTACTCACAACCATGAACTTTGCAAAGGAGACGACATTGAGGTATTAAAATTTTCGGATTATTATAATGTATGTTTATGTGTGCTTGTGCATTTCTATACCTATATGTTGACGTGTGAATGAATGTGTGATGTGTCTATGCATTTCTGTGTATGCACGTGCACATGTGTATGCAGACACTTCTGTATGTACACGCACATGTGTGAACAGACAAAATATCTGTCCCAAGACTATAATTTCCATTTATATTCACCATTATCAAATTAAAGCATGTAGAGCTTGATTCTTGGTGGTATTGTATGTATTTATGAGGTGCAAAGGCCGACAAACTGAGAGTTGGGCTCATGAATCTATTAACCCTATTTGAATTATGAGTCCGGACATATTTAATCACATATCCATATAGTTATCTTTGCAAGTTTGACTGAAATCCTATTCTTATGCCCTTGCTAGACCAAACCCACGCTTGAAATTGAAGAATGCAACACTTATAACAAATCTTGTTGATTCCGATCTGGTTGAGCCCAATCCATCATGTTGGTGGTTAATGAGGAGAGCATCTCAGTCGACACTTTGTAGATGAATCAAGTTCGTGCCAAAGAGAAAATTCCACAATACATGCACTCAAGAAATTCCAATCCCATTGTAGAACCCGTCTATCTATCTAGAATGCATGCCAAGTTTGAAATGGATTTTGTAATGTTTTTAGGTTTTTACATATACACCCCCCAATCATCCATATTTACAAATTTACCCCCCCCCCCCCCCAAAAAAAAAAAAAAAAAAAAAACCAAAAAAATCTTTATATTTGCAAATTTCCCCCCAAATATATAACATTTAGCTAAATATCCTCCAAACTGAATAGTCGTAGTTTTTGAACGATGGAAGGAAGCTAGACAACTAAGAAAAAAATTATGAATATCTTGAGAATATGCCATCATTTGATTTAAGGGTAAATTTGCAAATATTGATGATTTTAGGGGCATATATTTAGAAAACCTTTTTTTTTTGTAATTATGGTTGTTTGCTTTATTGCCAAAATAACAATTTCCCCTTTTTCTGTCTTTGGCAGGTGCATCTAGATCACAAGCATATGGGCGTCGGGGGAGATGATAGTTGGTCACCTTGCGTCCACGATCAGTACCTCGTGCCTCCAGTTCCTTACTCTTTTTCAGTAAGATTATGTCCTCTCTATCCATCAACTTCATGCAATGGTCTCTACAGATCTCAGCTCCCACAGTAACATATGTCCTTCAGATATCAACAGTTCAAAGATACATTTGTGGGCAATTAAGTAAGTACAAAAGGAAATCAATAAGCATTTACTGACTAATTGTCAATAAAAGTGTTTGGTTTGATGTGGTGGCAATAATTTCAATAATTATCTGATTCTGTTCTTGTTCTATTTCGGTGTGCACTCTGACAGTGTGTTTATTCTCTGAATATATTGATTTTCTGTGTTCTGTTATGGATATTTTCATGAATGATGAAGCTAAATTCCTCGTGTCAAATATTTGATTATGTATCCTTTTAACAATATTTGGATGCTGCATGTGATAACAGGTATAAGACAGCCTTCTTTCAAGGAGTTGTGATTGGTTTTAAATCTGTTACTTATCATATCTTGGCATTTGCAAACATGTTTCTTGTGTATTCAATTTTGTCGAAGAAATAATGAGCAATTATGACTAAATATAACAACATTTTATTCACTAAAATGCTCAGAACTCTTCTCAGTAGCACTTATCATCTCTCAAGTATTCATAAGAGAGCAGGAGTATCTACAATTTATCCTTCTCAAAAAGAGAATTTATGATAAAAAGAGGTAAATTTCGATAAACCCTCTTAAGTTTGGGCAGAACAACTGCAATAATAACAACAAAGTCTTACCCCAAATTTCTGGGGTCAGCTAGATGAATCATGTTTTCTTTTTTTTTCTTCTTTTTCAACGGAGAAAGGTTTTAACAAATTAAGAAGAAAAATAAGGGTCCTTTGGTCTTCTTATTATTAAAAAACTCAAATCGTATTACTCCCAATTGGAAATTTATATTATGTCAGATTTGACCCGATATGAAAAATGACTTAAATTAAAACCTATTTGAATTGAATGACCTAATTCGATTTGGTCCTCTCCTCTTCATCCTTCTGTGTCTCTTCCTCCTCATCTCCGATAATACAATCGACAAGCCATGACCATACCACTGGAAACCATCGCTACGATAAGATCCCCTCTCCTCTCGGTGGTTCTTGAACATCGACACAATAACTACACTAACCAAACGGTGTCCAAATGGTGTTGTTTCAAAGTATTTCCTTGTGCTATCGGTGAGTG